ATCAACAAAATGGCACCATATTGAATGGGGGAAGGTGTCTCCAAGTCATATATCCACTAAGGGGTAATATCTAACATACATAAAGAACTCAAAACCAAAAAAAATCCAGTAAAAAATGGGTAGTGTTACTGAACATTTTTATGAGAAAGACATATAGATAATCAATAGGCATATGAAAAGATGCTCAACATCATTAATTACCACAGGAATGCAAAGTATATACCATCTTATACCTGACAAATGTGCTATTAAAAAAACAAGAAATAAGTAGTGTTGGCAGGGATGTGGAGAAACAGGAAACCTCATGCACTGTTGGTGGGAAGGTAATTTCGTACATCCATTACAGAAAGCAGTACAGAGGCTTTTGAAAAAATTAAAAATAGAGCTACCATATGATCCAGCAATTCAACTACTGAGTATCTATCCAGGAAAAATGAAAATACTAATTGAAAATATAAATGAACTCCTACGGTCACGGCAGCATTATATACAATAACTGAGATATGGAAACAAGCTAAGGATCCACACTGATGGGGAAATAAAGAAGATGTGGTGTGTGTACACACACACACACACAAATGGAATATTACTCAGCCAAAAGAAAGAATGCAATCTTGCCAATTGTGACAACATAGACAGTCCTTGAGAGTATTATGCTAAATGAAGTAAGTCAGAGAAAGACAAATACTGCATGATTTCACCTATATGTGGAATCTAAAAAAGCAAAACAAAACCCAAATTCATAGACACAGAGAAGATTCATGGTTGCCAGAGGGGATGGGGGTTGGGGAAATGGTTAAAGGGGATTAAGTATAAATCTCCAATTATAAAAAAATTAACCATGGGGATGTGATGCACAACACGGGAAATGCAGTCAATAATACTGTACTAATTTAGTAAGGTGACTAAGATGGTAGATAACTAGACTTATCTGATGACCATTTTGCCATGTATACACATGTTGAATTACTATATGTTATACACCTGAAACTAATAAAATAGTGCATAGCAATTATACATCAATAAATAAATAAGAAAGAAAATTTGGGACTCTGATTTACAGTAAATGCACAGATTTGGAGAAAGGGGGAAAAAAACTTTAGCTACCATTGATGAGTTATTGAATTGCACTAATAAGCAAAAGCCTATAATTGTAATTTAATACACCATACCTATCAACTAAGGCTCTAATAATCTAAGAAAAACTATACTTTAAATATCTATTGAGTACCTGTAATGTAATGTATGTAGAATAATAGTACTATCACAAGCACTTTGTCTTCACATAACAGTCTCTTGAAAAGTGTAGAAACTCTGTTTTCTGAAATAGATATATAAGTTAATGTCCATGGGAAAAAACATCATATAGAAACTCTGAAGTTAATATTCTCATAAAATAAGTCTTCATGAAACAACAATCTCAATTTTGCTTTGTAAATTTTAGGTTTTGATATGTTGTGTTTTCCAACTGAAACACAGCTAATCTTGCATTTGTATATGTTTAATATTTTCAAAAGCCTATCCTACACTCATCTTGTTCTATGTTCCTAATATATCCCCATAAGAGACAAGAGAATGAAATAAACCTGATTTTTACAAAAAAAAAACACAAAAAATACCAGAACAGTATTACAATTTTGTAATGAGAATCTATCATCTATGATCACACAGGAAATTTCTTAGAAGTATTTCCTTTTAAATCTGTACAAAATTTTGTGTATCAAACTTACTCCACAAAAATAGTAAAAGATTTTTGTGATATCTGGTCCCATAAGAATTTATATTTACATGCAGTATACTAAATAATACTTAAGAAGAGTCTCAGTGTTTAAAAATCTGTAACTGGATGCCGTCTTCCAAAATTATCTAGTTGTCAATTTAAATGCTTCATCATCAAATGAAAGACTTCTGTGTTATAGAAGCAAAAGTTCCAAAACCCTTTTTCAAATGTCTATTTTATTTGTAGTTTCTGAAAATAATGGGAAAAGACTACCTAAATATAACAATTTTAAGTGCTTTTTTTAAATGTTTTGGAGTATTTTACTTTCTAAATTACCTGCATTATTTTTATTTTTTTGAGAGGGCATCTCTCATATTTATTGATCAAATGGTTGTTAACAACAATAAAATTCTGTATAGGGGACTCAATGCACCATCATTAATCAACCCCAAGCCTAATTCTCAACAGTCTCCAATCTTCTGAAGCATAACGAACAAGTTCTTACATAGTGATCCTTGCATTATTTTAACAGACAAGGCAAACTTCTAAAATTTGACATGTACAGACTAGAAATTGTTTTCTGTCCAAAAATATGACCCAAATTAAAGTTTTTCACTTAAAATAGCAAGGTTTTGTCTCTTTCACATAATAATGAATTTTAATAGATATTGTAGAATAATATAATATGATTATTTTAGCCACCTCAAAACTTTGGGAAAACAATTTATCTGTCCTACAAGCTAATGAATTATTCATCATCTTGAGTTAGAATTAAACATCAAATTAATAAAAATTAAAATGTAACCTGCACATCATATCAAATATAATACGAAGGTGAAAACGACTAGTATAGAAGAATTTCTAAATATACAATGCCTCAACCAAAACATTACTTTAACAAATGACAAGTGGGAAAAGGCATGCATTAAATCGGGAAAACAGAGTATTATTTTTAAATAGTGTATTATTTGAAGACGAAACAAAAGATCAGGAATTGGTACACTTGCATGGTACATGCACACATGGTTGTAAGATTCCCTAATTTAGTTCTGCTAAGGTCTGGAAATATTTTGTAAACACATGACTCCTATTTTATTTCCAAAGATCTTGGAAGAAAACGTTAAGAATAAAATATATATATTAGAAAAAAATACAAAGCAAAAATTCAAATTCAAATGTCCTAAAATATAACCCCCAAAACATAATCTTTCTCAATTACTTATTTATTGTGCCATAAACTTAAATAGCTTAAAACCACATAAACAAAGTATTTAGAGCTTTCTTTTAAGATAACCAAATTCACCATTACATACCATACATACAATAGCAGAGTCTTGTGAGGACCAAATTAATTCAAGACAAAGTGTATTATTAACTAAACTAGCATAAATTCCTTGAAGAAAGAGGCTGTATTTTAATTTGACTGCACTCTTAGTGCTAAACTAGTGCTTAGTACTTTCCAGATATGTTAGCTGAATAGGTGAAGAAAAAAAGTAGCACATAAAATACACAAATATTTCACATTCTGAAAATGTTTATACTATATTAATAATCTCATTTAATATGAAGCAAATGACATATCCAGGAATTTGCATCTTCAGATGTGTCTTCAAGTTTGATAACAAAGTAAGAAATAACAATCTACAGATTCAATGCAATTCCTATCAAAATACCAACAGCACTCTTCAATGAACTAGAGTAAATCATTCTAAGATTCATATGGAACCTCAAAAGATCCTGAATAGCCAAAGCAGCTCTGAGAAGGAAGAATAAAGCAGGCGGAATTACTCCCCAACTTGAAGCTCTACTACAAAGCCACAGTAATCAAGACAATTTGGTACTGGCATAAGAACAAACCCACAGACCAATGGAACAGACTAGAGAGCCCAGATATAAACCAAGCATACATGGTCAATTCATATACGATAAAGGAGCCATGGACATACAATGGGAAAATGACAGCCTCCTCAATAGCTGGTGCTGGCAAAACTGGACAGCTACATGCAAGAGAATGAAACTGGATTATTGTCTATCCCCATACACAAAAGTAAACTCAAAATGGATCAAAGACCTGAATGTAAGCCATGAAACCATAAAACTCTTAGAAGAAAACATAGGCAAAAATCTCTTGAATAGAAACATGAGCAACTTCTTCATGAACATATCTCCCCGGGCAAGGGAAACAAAAGCAAAAATGAACAAGTGGGACTATATCAAACTAAAAAGCTTCTGTGCAGCAAAGGACACTATCAGCGGAACAAAAAGGCATCCTACAGCATGGGAGAATATATTTATAAATGACATATCAACAAGGGGTTAACATCCAAAATACAGAAAGAACTCACAAGCCTCAACACCTAAAAAGCAAATAACTCAATTAAAAAATGGGCAGAGGATATGAATAGACAATTCTTCAAAGAAGAAATTCAGATGGCCAACAGGCACATGAAAAGATGCTCCACATCACTAATTATCAGGGAAATGCAAATTAAAACCACAGTGAGATATCACCTCAAACCAGTAAGGATGGCCAGCATCAAAAAGACTAAGAACAACAAATGCTGGTGAGGATGCAGAGAAAGGAGAACCTACACTGCTGGTGGGAATGTAAGCTAGTTCAACCATTGTATGGAAAGCAATATGGAGGTTCCTCAAAAACTAAAAATAGAAATACCATTTGACCCGGGAATCCCACTCCTAGGAATTTACCCAAAGAATATAATTTCTCAGATTTAAAAAGACATATGCACCCCTATGTTTATTGCAGCACTATTTACAATAGTCAAGATATGGAAGCAACCTCTAAGTGTCCATCAGTAGATGACTAGATAAAGAAGATGCAGTACATATACACAATGGAATACTATTCAGCCATAAGAAAGAAACAAATCCTAACATTTGCAACAACATGGATGGAGCTAGAGGATATTAAGCTCAGTGAAATAAGCCAGGTAGAGAAAGACAAGTACCAAGTGATTTCCCTCATTTGTGAAGTATAACAATGAAGCAAAACTGAAGGAACAAGACAGTAACAGACTGACAGACTCCAAGAAGGGACTAGCAGTTACCAAAGGGGAGGGGTGTGGCAGGGTGGGTGGGGAGGGAGAGAGAAGGGGATTGAGAGGTATTATGATTGGCACACATGGTGCCCCCCATGGGGAAGACAGTGTAGCACAGAGAATGCAAATAGTGACTCTGTGGCATCTTACTATATTGTTGGGCAGTGACTGCAATGGGGTGGGGGGGGACACGATAACATGGGTGAATGTAGTAACCACATTGTTTTTTCATGTGAAACCTTCGTAAGAGTGTATATGAATAATACCTTAATAAAAAAAAGAGGTAACCTGGGTTGCCATTGTCTGGAGTCAATTCACAGAAATATAAAAAATATACATAATATGTAAATATAATATAGCCATATTAAATATGTATTTTTGTGAATTTATTTTCATTTTACTTAAACAAATGTTACATTATACTCTCAGAGAAAAAAAAAAGCATCACAGAAAATGTGATCATAAAATGTTTAGCCAAAATAGACCTTGTGTTGCAGTGGACCCATTAGTAGATCCTAGAGGAGTAGCTATACAGGATTCAGATTCAAATTTAGCAGCAGCTGGAAAGGAAAAGAAAGAATTATACTCTTTATATAAAATACTCAGGTAAACAAGTATGAGTTTCAAGAAAAAGTTGGACCTTTATGAGTGTTAAGAATGAAAAATACCTATATATATTGACAAAACAAAATACAAGATTACTAGGAAATATAAATTGCCCATTGCTGCACACTTTATTTGCTATTGTGGCTAAGCATCACAGCTTCTTGTGTTCTCACTACAAGATGGAACTACACACGACGAAGATGACACAGTTCACCACTGACAATCATATGCTATAAACCAGAAAAACAGACCAACAGGTAGTTCCCATACAGTCAGGTATACATACCATGACAGGTATAAAACAGGGTGCTATTTGAACACACAGAGGGGACATCAGAGTTTTGTGTCAGTATTGTCGGCCATTTGGTGAGGTGACATGTAAATTGATACCTGCAGGACAAGGGAAAGATGTGCCAGATAGAGGGAAGAAGCATCTGCAAAGAGCTAGAGGTGAGGAAGAACATTTGTGGAACTGTAAGTAGTCTAGTTCAGTGACACACTACAGCAAAAGGGCAGAGTAGGGTAAGTAGCAAGAGATGAGGCTGAAGGATTTGGCAAGAACCAAATTTGATTTGGGTGTTTTTATTCCTTCCTAAGGAATTTGGAACTTTCCCTGAGGGTAAAAGGTAAAATAAATGACCAAGTCAATGGCTGGAGATTTAAATGTCACACTTCAAGTGACACTTATTCGAACTGTAATTGTCTATTACTAGATGAGCCTTGGTTTTTTTTTGGCCTTAAATCACTACCAAAAACATGAGAAGCTGGCAAAGCCCAGGTGTTCTGAGAAGTGCAGGATGATAGTTCTACAGGAAGAGCAGAAGTAAAGGAAAGGTATACCCAAAAATAACATATCCGTGGATGTGTTGAGATTTTTAAGAAGCTATGGAACATGGTGAATAAACGAGGAGAAAGTATATTCTTCATTATGAAAGGATATGCTTTCACATTTTTCTTTATATATGTATAAGAAAAACATATTTAATGTAATACTTATTAACCAAACAATGGAAAGGGTTGCTATTTACTATTTAGAATTCATTTCAGAAGGCAAGGTCATCTAAATTTAACTCATAAATTTTGGCAACATACCTTCTTTTAGTTCTCTAGTTATATTTTTTTTCCAATTCTTCCTGCATCTGCAATAAATCAAAAATGTATAATTTTTATTATCATAAATAATACATAACTGATGAAATATGGCCTTTTAGTAATACTTTTACAGATAGGATTTGGGGATTGCTTAAATAGAAAACAATCACATAAAATAAATTTGTTTAATTTAGGTAACATATATCAGTAATACTATTCTGATTAATCTGTCAAAAAGTACAATATTGGTGTATTGATTATGCATAACTTCAGGGTGATATCTGATCTTAATGGTAAGAACAGATTTAAATAATTCAAGTCATACTGAATGCATCATATAATACTAATGCATTACTTTACAATTCTTAGAAAAAATACCCTTTATAGAACTTTAATAGGTGTTTTTACTCTAATGAATTTTTCCTCAAAATGGGCTTTCCCTTCTTGTACTTTTAGAAAATTAAGATGTTAAGGTATAATCTGTCCTATTAATTTTTCAGCACAGGATCTTAAATACATAAAATGAAAGTGGGACTGTCATAAAAGTGTCATGTAAAACTGCTAGCAAAAAATTAAGTGAAAACATTTTTCTATTCGTACTATGACTACATCTCTTTATTCATGTGACACAAAGATTTCAGAAAAATCTGCTTTAAGAAACAAAAAATAGAGCCTAGATCTGGTTTTCAAACTTCGTTTCTGATCCATAACTTTCTAGAACTAGAAACAAGGAAAACAGTACACAATTCTTCAATGGTAACTTTGTTCCTTTCTGGAAATTAGAGCCGATTTTGGAAACACTTGACTAGTTATACTTATCTACTTAATTATAAAATGTGTGGGAATATTTCAAACTATTACAAGTGTCATTATTACAATAAAAGTATTGTCTTACTACAATAAAAACGTCCTTATTTAAACCTTTCTTATAAAATGTACCCTCTAACTGCCCTTCAAAGTAGGGCCTAAATTAGCATACTGAACGTAATAAACACTGTGATCAGAATGATAATGTGATATGTAATGCTTTTATAAATTTTAGATGTGAAGACAAGGTTTTTGGCTAGCATGTCTCTCAATATTTTCAGACACCGTTTTCCATAACACTTTTGTGACAATTGCATTATAGACAGGCCTTATAAAAGGAATAAGGTGACAACATTAGTAAACAGAGCCTGTAAAAGTAACAACTCAATCCCAGTTCAGGAACAGGTACTTATTGATTGAAACAATTTTATATTATCATTTCTAAACACTATGTAAAATGAAAACCACATTTTCACATAACTTGAAGAAAGGAACTACCAGTGTAATGTTAATTACCTTTTCCCAAAAAGCTTTTTTCCTAAATATTTACTTCCTTGACCTTTATGTTGATTTCTGGGTAAGGACTGTGTTCTGGTAGTGAAAGTAGCTGAAAGTCTGTTAATCAGAATACATCTGAAATCTTATTTATATTTTTCCATTTATTAAAAGTAGAGAAAGGGGAGAAAATTATACAGAAGAAAGCAAGATATCAGCAAGTTTTAATTCAAAACTTTTTTTCATTAGAATTGGTCCTCAAACTATGTCCTTAGAAATCTAAGCTTTCACTGGGAGACTGCCACACTTCATCTCTCTAGCTGGACAGCTCTCCTTGTCTCTGCTTTATATAATAGTTTGATGTAATTTTTTCTTTTTTTAAAGAAAGGCTCTATTGTTTGAAAGAAAATATATTTAAGGTATGAAAGTCAGTGACCTATTCAAAGTCCCTAATTTTACGTAAGAGGCAACAAAGGCTCAGCGAGAGGGTAGCTTGCCTAAGGTCACAAAACCAATGAGCTGCAGGCCAGGAACAGGCTTTAGGTATTCATACTGAGCCTCAAGTTCTACACCAGCCACTTCCTCAAAATCCGGAAAAATACATAGATTTTTAACTGTAACTCAGAGAAAATGAATATGTAAAACTCTGTCACATACCCCAGTAATATTTAGGCCTGAGATACAAAATAGCTTTCTAACTAACTTGTAAGTTTTAAAGTTATGAATAAAAATAAAGAATAGAAATTAATACCCTAACTCCTAGTAGCAGCCAATATACTCAATTTATAAAGCACACATTTTTTTAAACACAGGACAGGGATCTTGAAGATGTAAATCTTTAGTTGGATCAAGCAAGCTGAAATCAAGGAAATTCTTCCTTAGAAGAACTATTCATTTCCACCAAATTAAACTTAGTTTACCAAAATCAGTCAACAACTAAATCATATATGTTATTGGTTGCTTATAGCAAAATTCTAGCAATAAATACAATATATGTTCACTCATTCAACAATAATTTATTGAATTATGTTCATTCTGTTTTTGAGACCAACTTGATAAATACCAAACACACACACACACACACACACACACACAATGTTAATATTTTCAGTATCTATTGAAGTCTTAAGTTAAAATTTGGTATTTTAATTAATTTTAAATGTTACAAAAATAAATATAAAAATTTTATGAAATCAATTAAGTTTGCCCATTTAAACTACTGCAATTCATCATCCGATTGCAAATAGGTTAATGTATGAAGGAAATTCTGACTCTCTCCATCTACTTTGCTAACACCACTCACCCTGCACCAGCATTCACATGCAGACTGCCCACTGAGTATTCCCAATGTACCCAACATAGGAGCATCTAAGTATCAACACAGAAAGGGAGAAATCAACAATAATACAATAACTGTAGTGAACTGTAACACCACATTTACATCAATAGATTGATAATCCAGACAGATCAATAGGAAAAAGTGGCTTGGAATGATACACTACACAGATGGACTTTAATGGGGATATACAAAACATTCCTTCTAAAAAATGCATAATACATTCTTTTGAAATGCACATGGAACATTCTGCAGGACAGATCAGTCAGCCAAAGAAACAAGTCTCAATAAATTTAAGAATACTGAAGTCCTATCAAGCATCTTTTGTAACTACAATGGCATTAAATTAAAATTTAATTATAGGATAAAACCTGTAAAAAACAAACAAGTTAAACATGTTACTAAACAACCAGTAGGTTAATAAAGAAATCAAAGAGGAAATCAAAAAATACCTTGAGACAAATTAAAATGAAACTCAACATTCTAAAATCTTTGGGACACAGCAAAAGCAGTTCTAAGAAAAAAGGTCATAGCAATACAGGCCTACCTCAAGAAAGAAGAAAAGCTGCAAGTAAACAATTTTACCTTACTCCTAGAACAGCTAGAAAACATCAGAGCAAACTAAGCACAAAATTAGTAGAAGGAAGGAAATAATAGCAGTTACAGTGGAAATAAATAAAATAAAGACTTAAAAAAATAATAGAAAAAAGATCAATGAAACTAGGAGTTGATTCTTTGAAAAGATAAACAAAATTGGTAAACCCTTGGCCAGACTTACTAAGAAAAAAAGAGAAGACCCCAATAAATGAAATCCAAATGAAAGAGAAGTTACAACAGCCACCATAAAAATACAAAGGATTATAAGAGACTGCTACAAAAAAGTATATTCCAATTAATTGAACAACCTAGAAAACACGGATAAATCCTTAGAAACACAATCTTCCAAGACTCAATCAGGAGCAAATAGAATATCTGATCAGACTGCTTACCAGCAATGAAATTGAATAATACTTTTTTTAAAAACCTCCCAAGAATAGAAGTCTTCATAGGTGAATTCTACTAAATATTTAAATGAGTTAATACCTATCATCAAAATTTCCAAAAAATTGAAGAGAAAGTACTGCTTCCAAACCAATTCTATGAAGCCAGCATTACGCTGATACCAAAACTGGAAAAAGACACTTACCCAAAATAAAAGAAAATTACAGACCAATATCCTTAATGAAAATTGATGCAAAATTCCTTAACAAATGTTAGCAAACAGAATTCAACAATACATGAAAAGGATCATTCACCACAACTGAAATCAATTAGAAAGTCAGTCAAAGCATCTTCAAGTATACCGCTGGTGACTGGCAATAATAGTTAATTTCTAAAATCAAATTTAATGCAGTTTTGATTTATTTTTTCAAGATGCAGCTTTCACAAAATTTAAAATGTGTCATTTTTGTTTCTTTTATTGAATAGAGTTAACATTAGGTATCTCTCAAAAATGAGAGATCCAAGGACTTTTAAAAAGAAAATTTCTGTCTCCTTTCTTAGAAGCACAAATAATTACGACTTTTACTTAATGTGTATTAATTGAACAACTCAGAATTTCACAAAATCAAAAACAAGAATTACATCATAAATTTAAAACTCAAGGGGAAAGAAGATAATATAACTAACCTTGAAAAAGTATGTCTCCATTCTGTTTCTTGAAGTTTGTTTGCTGGGGATAGGAATCATTAAAATAATCTCCTCGAGTAAAGTCTATTGAGCAATAAATGCCAATGAATTCCAACAGAAGTTGGCTTCAGCCCTGGCCTCACAGTAAGAGAGCCAAGTGAAGATATGTTCTGTTTCTCTACAGAAAGTGAGGTATTGATCTCTGCTAGTATCACATTAAACCTGTGGAGATTGCAATAAAAAAATGCTTAGTATTTCATTTTTCCCTAAATGATAACTAAATGACTTGCATTTAAAAAGTTACTGTAACAGTAAATAGAATTTCTTATAAAACAGTGTTTCAGCACTGAAAATATGCTGAAGAAGACCTACTGTATTCAGTTACAGGTTTAAACTTGTTCTATAGAGGTACATATTTTTCTAGGGCAATTCCTAACTAACAAGTAATTCAAAGTATGGCTGGGAGAGAAATGTCTGTCAGTAATACACAGATAGATGGCTTCTGGAATGGCTGTACTTACAAGATTCTGAAGGAGGCCACACAGACCTACTTAGTAATCCCAGTTAGAGATAAAATATAAAATATCCATCAAAGTCATTTCAAACATTTGCTTTCACCGCCCTTTTATGTTTCACTCATTACCCCAGAGAAATTAAGAATTTGGCACTGAGGCATAATTTAGAGCAACAATCTCTAGGGGAGGCAGAGGGGTGAGAAAAATTGAAGTTCCTATGGCCAGGAACCTCACCTGAACCTAAACTACTTGATGATGTAATTAGCTTCCTGCTTCTAAACATGTGGCAATAAGCTATAACTGACTGAGTCACTATATAAAGACCTCGGCCTGGTGCTCTGGGCACAGTCAGAGACAGAAGAGGATTATGGATCTGCAGATTGTTGGATGCAGACATGATTCTAGTGCTCAACCTGTAGCTGGGAGAATAGAGCCAGGTATAAACCCTTTTACCCCAAAAATGTTCCACTGTCATTTCTCGGGCCTTAGTGAATCCACAGTGAACTTGCCTGGGACTGAAGCCGTCAGGCAAGACAGCTGAGTAGTACTTGGCCCCTTGGGTTTGAGATGTAATCTTTCAAAAAATAGTTAAACTATTTTAAACAAATTAATATTTGTATTTAGGGGAATTCTTTAGGAAGCAATTTTATAATATTCTCACCATCTAAATTACAAAGCTTCAAAAGCACTGGGCTTAAAGACTAGTAGATCAGGTTAACTATGAAAATACTAGGAAAAAATACAAGTCATGTAAAACTAAGAAAAGGGAGAAAGATACAAACTATGCTGGACGATCATTTTAAAGGTAAGTTCACTTAGTAACATCATTTTCCAGAATATATCTAGTTAGCTTTCACTTCCTACTAATCTTATAAACCTGGCTCAATAAAAATAATGCTTTAGAGGCAAACTAATGAGATTAACTTATTTTGTATGATTCTGTGTTTTGACTTACTCATTTAGTCGAGTTGAAGATGACCTGGTAAATTTTCATTCCTCTAGGTAGAGCTATTTATATTTTTCCAAGTTAGTTTTAATTGAATTTTCTTGAGAAGTTTTTTTGGAGTTCAGATTCTAGGTCTTTAATTCTGAGTTCTATTTGCCTTCTAAATGAAGCATTATCATTTGCTCTCAACTGCTCTAACTTCTCTTATGGTGTTGGTTCTACCTAAAGCAAATTAAAAGAATACATTTTTAAATAACTATAATGTGAATAATTATAGCATATATTTTTCTTTAGTTTTGAGTCAATGATTCAGAGAGCAATTTTAAATGTGAAAAAAAGACTTGAAGTTTAACATATTTATTAGAACCTCAGTTGAATTAAATCTGCATTATAAAAATAAACTTGAATAATTTTTATTTCAGTACTCATATGACAATTCAAAGAATAACAGAATCTGTTTAAAATATTTTAAACTAAACAATATTATCTAAGAGTATGGTACAAATTTTTAAATCACAAGTTTTCTTTTCCTCTTACTAGTTTTATACCAACCAGTCTTAAAAATAAAATGATTATCTAATGAGAATCATTCTGAAAGATCAATTTGGTGATAATAATGATGGAAACTGAAATATTAAAATGGAGAAACACACATTACCATCCTTCCAAAAATCTATAAAACGAACTGCTTTAAGTAGAGGAAACAGAGACAATGTATATATCCAAAATGTAATCTGCAGTGAAATGAATTAAGGCACATTACAGATTAATAAATTTAACCTGTAAAAACCAATTGACTTGTTTTAATTTTTCTGGTATTTCCATCTTTCTACGCACTATAACAAGTCAATGAAACATAATGAAGCCCAGAGACTGAGTCAGCAGGTTCTGATGACCAAGACTGATGCGAATGGGAGTGAAGTGGAGGAACTGGGTGGGAGAATAATGGTGCAGATGGAGAAAAGAGGGAATGGGCTCTACCTTTGTCTGCCTGACTTCCCATCATGGCACAGTCAGCAGGGTAGAAGCTGGACAAAGGCTCTCTAAGAAGCAAAGTGTCTCTCCAGGAGTGGAGAGAAGCAAGTGGTAATATGCAAGATGACATGGAAAGTGTTCTCACAAAATACGATTTGGTACTGGCATAAGGATAGACATACAGAAAACTGTGTTAGAATTGAGAATCCAAAGTAAACTCCTACATTTGTGGAGAACTGACTGTCAACAAGGGTGCCAAGCAGTTAAATGGAACAAGAACAATCCTTTTAACACATGGTATTAGGACCACTGAATATCCACATACAGAAGAATAAAATCAGACCTCTACTTCATAGCATATATACAAAGTTAACTCAATATGTAAGAGCTCAAATTATAAAACTCAGGAAAAAAACAAAGATGTATGTCTTAGTGACTAGATTTGGCAATGGTTTCTCAGATATGACACCAAAGGAGAAAAGCAGATTAACTGGACTTCTCCCAGACAGTGAAAAGGGAAGCAATGGAATAGGGGAAATACTTGAAAACCCTTTATCTGATAAGGGATTTGCATCTAGGATATAGAAATAACTCTTACAATTCACTTATAAAAAGACAATCCAATATCAAAATGGGTAAAGGAATTGAACAGGCAGTTCTTCAAAGAAGATATATGAATGGATAATAAGCATAGGAAAAGATGCTCAACATCATTATTCATCATAAAAATGCAAATCAAAACCACAATGAGGCACCATTTCACACCCACTAGGATGGCTATAATAAAAAAGACAGATGATGACAGATGTTGGCAAGAATGTAGAAAAACACTGGAACCCTCCACAACCACTTAGGAAAATGTAAAATGGTGCAGCTACTTTGGAAAACAGACTGGCAAGTTCTTCAAAAGGTTAAACAGTTATCATACGTAAGTATATACCATTCAGAAGTATATACCCAAGAGAAATAAGAGCATAAATAATAGGCTCTACTGCTAAATCCAAGTTCTCAAACCACTACATTCCCAGCAATTGTTCCTATTTGGCTGCTTTACCAAATACTGTCACATACAGGGTTAGATACCAAATACTGTCACATACAGGGTTAGATAGTATGGCATCTCAGAAAAGCTGACCCAGAGCTTTACATATGTAAATTCCAGTTCTGGCTTCATAATGAAGAAAGGCAAATTTACACTTTTTCTCATAGTGAAGGGGGAAAAAGAGCATTCAATTAAACATTTCTCCTCTATTAGGTTAAGTGCTTTCAATTTTATATTTAATAACTTAAAATACACTTAGAATAAAAGCTTTATTATATCAGTGTTTCTAAGGAGAAATTAATTGGTATGGTATAAACAGCTAAAATATTTTAATTGATACAAGGGTAGGTACCATGCATATGAACTGTTATTTTGCAAAGGACAAACTTATACTTAAAAAGACAAGATTTGATGGATTGGATTAAAGATGGCAGCATGACAGGTAAGACAGAGACCTCCTTCTGAAAGCACACATAATACGAAAATATAATTAATACAACTAATCCTAAAAGAGCAACAGGAAACAAGGCTGCACCAGACTACATACACCTGGAGAAAAGAGCAGACCTCATGGAACAGGGTACATACCAAAGCTGTGACAAGGTGGAACCCAAGCCCTTCCCCCACCCCAGCCCACTGGTGGGAGGAAGAGAAACTGAGCAGGGAGGGAGTGGAGGCCTGGGACTGCTGAACACCTAGCACTGGAGATCTGCTCTGGGAGCATGAACCTACACTGCATTGTGCTCTGGTGATTAGTGGAGTCAGAAAACTAAGACAGGTGGAATACCTGGAGAGATGGAGATTCCAGCTGCTTGTGGAAAACAAGAATACATATCCAGCTGATCTGGGCAGGCACTCTGAGAGAATTCCTAACAGTGAGAGGGCTGCTAAAGCGGTAAGGATTTCACAGAGCTTACTGCTCAGGAGAAAGGAAAAGTAGACAAAATTGTCTGGGTGAACTCTGCCCAGCAGGTTGGGAACCTAAATGATCTTCAGGCGCTCCATTCCCCTGGCTGGTTATGCAGCTCCAAGGCCCCCCATTGTGATACACAGCCTGGTGTGTCTTCCTCCCAGCTAGCCTGCACCTGGCTTGCAAACCTGCAGCCCCTGCCTGGCATCAGGTCACCAGAGGGAAACTCCGCCTATGGCAGCTACAAACACAAAACATAGAGGCCTACACGTGTGTGTTCCTTCAGCCCACTGGTTTGGGCAGTGGAGACAGGCATAGCAGCCAGGAAGCAGGAAACAGCTCTTTCCTCCCCCCCAGGCACCAGCACCACTTCCCCGCAACCCCTGAGATCACTCCAGGGGCTAAGCAGCTCCAGAGAGTAGAGTTTCTGGACACTAGAGAGTGCCACAGACAAATATGAAATGTCAAAGGAACCTCATTCAAAGCAAACTTATGAATACATAAGAGAATGATTCAAATGAAGTTGACCTCATGAATCTTCCTGAGATTTCAAAATAAAAATCATTAACATGCTCATGAAGGTACACAAAAATATTCAAGAACTCAAGAACAAATTGAGGACAGAGATCCAATAATTGAAGAACACAAAGGAGGATACTAAAAGCAGATTAGATGCAGTGGAGGAGACAATAAAGAAATTAGGGAAGAGGAATACAAAGAAGCTGAGGCACTGAGAGAAAAAAGGATCTATAGAAATGAAAGAATACTGAGAGAACTGCATGACTAATACAAACAGAACAATATTCGTATTATAGGGGCACCAAAAGAAGAAGAGAAAGAAAAAGAGATAGAAAGTGTCTTTGAGGATGTAATTGCTGAAAACTTCCCCAATCTGGGGAAGGAGATAGTCTCTCAGGCCATGGAGTTGCACAGATCTCTCAACATAAGGGACCAAAGGAGGACAACACCAAGACATATAATAATTAAAATGGCAAAGATCAAGGATAGGAACAGACTATTAAAAAGCAGCCAGAGAAAGAAATAAGATCACATACAAAGGAAAACCCATCAGGCTATCATCAGACTTCTCAGCAGAAACCTTACGGGCCAGAAGGGAGTGGAATGATGCATTTAATGCAATGAAGCAGAAGGGCCTCGAAACAAGATTACTTAATCTGGGAAGATTATCATTTAAATCTGAAGGAGGGATTAAACAATTTACAGCTAAGTAAAAGCTGAGAGAATTTAGCTCCCACAAACCATCGCTACAGTGTATATTAGAGGGACTGCTATAGATGGAAGTGTTCCTAAGGTTAAATAGCTGTCAACAGAAGTAATAAAAAGGAATAGACAAAGAGTACAAAATGTGACACTTAATATATAAAGAATGGAGGAGGAAAAAAATCTAAAAGTTGTGTTTGTAATAGCATACTAAGTGAGTTAAGTTAGACTCTTAGATAGCAAAGAAGTTACCCTTGAACCTTTGGTAACTGCAAATCTAAAGCCTGCAATGGCAGTAAGTACATACCTACTAATAATCACCCTAAACGTAAATGGTCTGAATGCACCAATCAAAAGACATAGAGTCACTGAATGGATAAAAAAAAAAAAAGACCCAACTATATGCTGCCTACAAGAGACTCACTTCAAATGCAAAGGCATACACAAACTAAAAGTGAAGGGATAGAAAAAGATATTTCAAGCAATAGTGAGAAAAAAAAGCAGGTGTTGCAGTACTTGTATCAGACAAAACAGACTTCAAAACAAAGAAAGTCACAAGAGACAAAGACGGACATTACATAATGATAAAGGGGTCAATCCAATAAGAGGATATAACCATTATAATATCTATGCACCCAACACACGCACACCTACTTCTGTGAAACAAACACTAAAAGAATTAAAAGAGGAAATAGAATGCAATGCTTTCATTCTAGGAGACTTTAACACTCCACTCACTCCAAGGACAGATCCACCAGGCAGAAAGTAAGTAAGGAGACACAGGCATTGAACAACACATTAGAACAGATGGCTCTAACAGACATCTACAGAACTCTACACACAAAAGCAGCAGAATACATATTCTTCTTAAGTGTACATGGAACATTTTCAAGAATAGATCATATACTAGGCCAGTAAATTCTGAAATTATACCAACCAGCTTCTCAGACCACAAGGATATGAAACTAGAAATAAATTACGCAAAGAAAACAGAAAATCCTACAAACACATGGAGGCTTCACAACATGCTCCTAAATAACCAATGGGTCAATGACCAAATAAAAACAGAGACCAAGCAATATACAGAGACAAATGACAACAATAATTCAACAACGCAAAGTCTGTGGCATGCAGCGAAGGCAGTGTTAAGAGGGAAGTATATTGCAATACAGGCCTACCTCAGAAAAGAAGAACTATTCCATATGAACAGTCTGAACTCACAATTAATGAAAGCATAAAAAGAAGAACAAATGAGGCCAAAAGTCAGCAGATGGAGGGACATAATAAAGATTAGAGCATAAATAAATAAAATCGAGTAGAATAAAACAACAGAAAAAATCAATGAAAGCAAGAGCTGGTTCTTTGAGAAAATAAAATAGATAAACCCCTAGCCAGATGTACCAAGAAAAATAGAGAGTCTATACACATAAACAGGATCAGAAATGAGAAAGGAAAAATCAATACGGACACCACAGAAATACAAAGAATTATTAGAGAATACTATGAAAAATTATATGCTAACAAACTGGATAACCTAGAAGAAATGGACAACTTCTAGAAAAATACAACCTTCCAAGGCTTACCCAGGAAGAAACAGAAAATCTGAACAGACCAATCACTAGCAATGAAATTGAATTGGTAATCAAAAAACTACCTAAGAACACAACACCTGTCCCAGATGGCTTCACCGCTGAATTTTATGTAACATTTAGTGAAGACCTAATACTCATCCTCCTTAAAGTTTTCCAAAAAGTAGAAGAGGAAGAAATACTTCCAAACTCACCCTATGAGGCAAGTGTCACCCTAATACCAAAACTAGGCAAACACAACAAAGGAAATTACATACCAATATCCCTGATGAACATAGATGTAAAAATACTCAACAAAATATTAGCAAACTGAATTCAAAAATACATCAAAAAGATCATCCATCATGATCAAGTAGGATTTATTCCAGGGATGCAAGGATGGTACAATATTAGAAAATCCATCAACATCATTCGCCATATCAGCAAAAAGGACAAAACCACATCATCATTTCCATAGACGCTGAAAAAGCATTCGACAAAATTCAACATCCATTCATGATAAAAGCACTCAACAAAATGGGTATAGAGAGCAAGTAACTCAACATAATAAAGGCCATATATGACAAACCCACAGCCAATACCATACTTAACAGTGAGAAGCTGAAAGCCTTTCCTTTAAGATCAGGAACAAGATAAGGATGCCCACTCTCTCCACTTTAATTCAGCATAGTAGTGGAGGTCCTTGCCACAGCAATCAGACAAAAAAAAATCAGAAATAAAAGGCATCCAGATTGGTAAGGAAGAAGTCAAACTGTCCCTGTTTGCAGATGACATGATATTGTACATAAAAAACGCTAAAGAATCCACTCTAAAACTACTAGATCTAATATCTGAATTCAGCAATGTTGCAGGAAACAACATTAATACAGAAATCTGTTGCACTCCTATACACTAATGATGAACTAGCAGAAAGAGAAATCAGGAAAACAATTCCATTCATAATTGCATCAAAAAGAATAAAATGCCAAGGAATAAACCTAACCAAGGAAGTGAAA